TTGTAATAGTACCGCACCGATTCCCTCATCAGATGCATCAGTTTGAACTTTGAAAGGGAATCTATTGTTTGAAAGTCGTAATACCAGATCAGTTGTAAGAAAGTTTTTAAGTTGTTCGAAGGCTTTAGTTTCTTCATTTGTTAATGTAATAATAGTTTTTGTCCTTTCTTTTTTTGAGTTCTTGTAGTCGGGACAAATTTTATAAGCGGTTCGGCGATTTGAGAAAAATTTGGTATGAATTTTCGATAATATTCAGCTGCTTTAACAAATTTTCAAGCCTCATCTGCAGTTTGTGGTAATCTCGTATTTAATAAACCATTAATGTTATGAGGACTTGGACGAATTTCACCATTTTTAATATTATGTCCAAGGTAATCTGTTTGAGTTCGAGCAATTTCATATTTATCGGGATTAAGACGAAATCGTGCATTTTTTAATATTGTACATATTTCATTAAGATGTAATAAATGTTCTTCAAATGTTTTCGAGTATATAATTACATCATCAATGTAAGCTAATGCATATTTCCATCGTGCGGGTCCTAATATGTGATTAATTACACGTTGAAAAGTTGCGGGTCCGTTGGTAATTTCTTGTGGAAGAACAGTAAATTGATAATGATTATCACGAGTTGACAATGCCGTTTTAGGACGGTCCTCTTTAGATAGAGGTACCTGGAAATAACCAGATTTAAAATCAAATTTTGTATAAAATGTTGCATCGGATAATTGATCAAATATTTCATCTATTCGAGGAAGTGGAAAAGCATCTTTAATTGTAATAGCATTTAATCGACGATAATCAATACAAAATCGCATAGTTCTGTCTTTTTTCTTAACAAGAACAACAGGAGAAGACCATGGAGAAGTTGATTCTTCAATTTGACCACGTTCTAATAATTTTTGTGCTTCTTGAAATTTAATTTCTTGATCTTTATATGGAGCTGGATATTGTTTTGAATAGATAGGCGGATGATCACCAGTTTTAATTGCAGATTGTGAAGGTATATTTATTATTGATGGTGTAGGATCAAATAATATTTTGTTTCGCCATAGTATATCTTGAATTGCTAATTGGTGTTTTCGATTTTCTATGTGCTTAGTCGATTCGAGTATTTGTTTTCGAATCTGTTCTGAATAACATTCTGCTCGTAAATGTTTTTGTAAATCATTTCCAGATAAAAAATATTCATTACAGCGGTAACAATAAGTCTTGAATTTTGTTTGATTCGAGTTGTCTTTACTACATGAGACAACTCTGGATTTTAATTGTTTAGACTGCCGAGGTAAAGATCGATAATTTGCATTTGAGAAAAAATTACGTTCTTTGTCAGGTTGCGTTGTAGCATATATCGTATAGGTTGAATGACGAGAAAGGGCTCCGATTCGTGTATTTTGTGGTAATGTTTGTTGTCGATCTTGTGCATTTATTAATAATATTTTGGCTTGATTTTTATTAATATTCAATAATGTATGTGGTGTGAGAATAAATTTTGATGTATGACGTTCATAAGGTTCAAATATAAGATTATTTGCATCGTTAATTTGACATGTTATATCAACTAATTTTTGTGAGTACGGAGGAAGAGTAACTTGATGGACTAATAATGCCGGATAATTAATAGATGTGGGTTCCACATATGGAATTGAAATTAATTGACCACGTTGTGACAGTCCCGGTTGAGCTTGTTATGTATTATCGTTACATAATGT